ATCTAAATGTTTGTCTCTCCTCCAGCATATTCTAGCCAGCTTGGCAAAGGCCTGGATTTGTTGGGGACAGATTTCCAGCGGGTGGTGGCATCGTGGCTGGTGTCTCTACTCCCTTGAGTTCACTGTTGTCATTTGCAGGCAGCTGCTCCTGCTCCTTCAGGAAAGGGACGTGGAAGGCTGTGTGAGGGCAGTTCCTAATCACACTAAGGAGCACAAATAGTTTAATTGTCTCTGTTGGAAAGAAGCAAAGAGCCTTCCCTAGCTGGCTCTTAAGCCTTCTGGGCAGAAGCCTGGTAATGGCAGAGTCTCACACTTGCCTCACATTTGTCTCACAAATCCCTTTGGGAGCAAAGCAAGTCCTTCCTCAGCTCTGCTCCCCAGCTGTGCTTCAGGGGATTGTCACCTGATGCTTTGAAACATAATTTTGAAATGTCACTAGCAAGGAAGCCAGTGCCCTATTGCCCAGTTTCTGTCACAACAACCCAGGTAAACTTCAGCTGGGCCTGGCTCCAAAAATGGCAGACCTACCTTCCTACCTACTTGCGGTCTTATTAACAGGGAAAGTAGGATTTTCATTTGAACAAGGGCAATTATTAAATACAGATGGCCACCGTTATCACCAGGCTTGAATGGGTGAACTCTGAAGACAGGTTGTTAAGGCTTCATTGTTATCTAACTACCTATCTACTTACCTATCATCTATCTATCTATCTATCTATCTATCTATCTATCTTATCTATCTTCTATGTATCTAATCATCTATCAAGACATATACTATAATGGGGGACTTTCTGCTTGGCTACACGAAATGGGGAGAGTATTTCTCTTTGCAGTCTCTTGGTAGCTTGCTGAATGTCGTATTCTGGGTTAGTGCTTACTTGGTATTTCTTTCCCTTCTACTTTTGCAGGCTTTCTGGGTTGCCAGGAGATTGTGTCTTTAATTTGTATTGTACCTTTCAGAGATGTGTGCTTGTGCGTCCTCTTTTCTGTAGAAAGAAATGATGCTGTTTCCTTCAAGCCCCACTAAGGTCCCATGGGCCGCTATGTCTAATGTGGCTTCCAGGGAAGGGCCAGTGGCCCTGCAATTATCAGGGCAGCCTCCCCCAGAAAGGGAGTGGGAGGTGTTCACTCTGACAGTATCAGTGTGTATAGTGTAGTGGGAGAGAGGGGCAATGACAGCTTCCTGCTCATGCTGAGCTCTGAGCTCTGAGACTACTCTGGGCGCTGGGGAGGGCCAGGGAGCAGGGTGTATGCCCAACAGAAGCTAGGAGCTCCTAGGTAGCCCCGCAGCCCGCAGCCCTGAGGGACTGGCTCGATAGCGACATCGTGTGGCAGGTATGAAACTGCGGCGTCTCTACGGGGAGTAAGTGAGCCAAAGATGTCACTGTCTTGGTACAGCTGCGACTGGCTGGGGTAAAGTCACGTGGCGACCAGGCTGCTGGTGGCTTGATCAGGGTTATGTGTGGGACAAGACTCTCATGCAAATGATATTTCCTGAGTATCAATTAACGTGTTACAGTGATACCGACCTTGTTGATGAAGGGTTAGGGTTAGTTTGGGTGTGTGTGGGGAGTTGGTCCTTGTGGAGATTATAGGGGAGAATCAGTTATTTTTTCCTTTTTATCTTCTCTCCCTCTCCTCTCTCTCTTCCTCCCCTCTCTCCCTCTCTCCCTCTCTCTCTCCCCCCCTCTCCCTCTCTCCTCCCCTCCCTCTCCCTCCCTCCTTCTGCATTTTGACTATATTCTTATCATGTAACTCATGTTATCCTCAAATCAGCGATCCTGTCCAGTCCTAAGATTAGAGGCGCAAAATACATTTTAAGTTATTTTTTGAAGACAAGATCTTGGAAATTGCCATGTGGATGAGGGTGACCCCAGCCTCACAGAGATCTACCTGCTTCTGCCTCTGTCTCTCTAGTGTGAGATGCTTTTAAATTGTCGAGGGAATCAAGACTTCAGGGCCAGCCCAATAGCAAGTTGAAAGTCCTCCTGGGCCTTGTGAAATCCTATTATAACCAACAAGCATGCTTACAATGCAAATAGTGTGTGCAGACATTTAGACAAGGAACTGTGGCCATTCTGTACTGACTTTCAGTTCTCATCACCATGGAAATGGTGATAGTCTCTAGTGGGGAGGGAAGATTGGGATTTTGCCTTTTCTAGGCTTTGTATTGTTCTTGTCTCATTCTGACCCCTCCAGAGGCCCTAGGCACTGCAGCCAAGCTTTCTATTTACCCCTGCAAATTGTCCTCTGACCTGAGGTATGTATGCAAGTGTCGTGTGAGTATGCTCTCACACACAACCAAACAAATAAAAATGTTTAAGGGCTGGAGACATTGCTTTTGCAGGGAACCTGAGTTCAGATACCAGCACACATATCTGGAGGTTCACTACTGCCTGTAACTCCAGTTCTGGGGAATCTGGTATCCTCTTCTGGCCTCTGCAGGCATTGGACACACATGTATACCCACTCCCTAGCACACAAATAATTAAAAACAAAAATAAAATCTTAAAAGAAAGTTTTGGGAGGGGAACTGGAGAGATGGCTCAGTGGTTAAGAGCACTGGTTGCATTTTTAGAGGACCTGGGTTCAATTCCCAGTACACACATGACAGCTCACAATTGTTTATAACTCCAGGTCCAGGGAATCTGACACCCTCACACAGATACCAATGCACATAAAATAAAAATTAATCGTTAAAAAATCTGGGAGAAAAAAAAGAGAAAAGTTTGGGATCTGAGTATTTGCATCTTCTCTTTCAGGAGAACAGAGTGTAGGCTGACTGGTGAATCATTTTGGACCACAATGATGAAGGCAGTATCCTAGAGATGACAGAAGAACAAACCAAATCAATGTACCTTGATGGTTAAGAACTTCCACTAGGACTCAAAAGAAGAAGGGGGGGGGTTCTGCACACAATACATATGCTCATACCTCATTGTTCAGAAAACACTGCTGCTGAGGAGCCTTAGGACATGCTTTTCTGCAAGACAGACTGCTGCACCCCCACCCCTGCCATGGCCAAAAATTTGTTATAGAAGAACGAAAGCTGGATTCTTGGAGTTACCTGGCAGCTTCTGGCACAAATCATCAAAGCAGCTTTCATTTATTAGTCCCCCTCCCCCTCCCCTCCAC